ATTAATAGATGTATCTCAATTGGTCAAGAGTTGACCCAATTGAAAACATCTATTGGAGTTTGGGTCATGTGAGTCCAATTAGGTTCTTCTCTTGGCTCCAATAAAAGGTGTGTGATTTAATTGACCTACTACAATAAAGTCTAAAAAAATTTGTGCAATTTTCAAATTCTAATAAGTCATTATAAATATGCACATTATTGGCATATTTTGGGTGTGATTTTAAGGTTAGCCACTTTTCACATTCCCAAAAAGGAATAACACCTAGTGGAGAACAAGGGAGAAGATTTAAGAGAGGAAGCAATTAGCTAGACCATTAATAACTCCTTCAAAAAGGTTATCTCCTCCCCTTTCTATATATGTGAGAATTTAATAATCCAATAATCTCAAGGTCAATTAAATTTTTATTTACATGATTTTAATTTTCAAAGGAAAATTAATTTCCTATTGTGATTTAAAGTTCATTAACCAACAATTGTTGTTCAATTTGAGTATTGAATCAAAAGGTGACCCATGCGCTGAGACTGTAACCCACACCCTTCAGTTTTAATCCAATCAGTATTCATCTAAATTTTTTTCAATTGCCATCTTCCCTTAGACCAACAAGAAATGGAAAGTGAAAGAACAGTGGTATTAAGTTGTGGAGAGATATATTCATTCAACCATTTTGTCCATGTATATTCTTGCTTTTAAAACTGCAGGGTCCAAAATGAAAATAGTTGACATTAATTGGCAGATTCTTCTGAATCTCACTCTACTGTGTACTGAATATTATAAGTAGACTGTAAAAGAATGCAGAAACAAACAAATTTTTGAAAGCTGGAATTCCAGAAGTATATAGGATATGTCCAGGCAGAGATGTGAATTGTTTTGAATATGTGCTAACAGTAATAATAGACAGGATAAATGGAAAAATGAGCCTTAGAAGACAGATTTCGGGAGTTTTTCTATAAGTAGGATATACATGGGTGATGGATCTTGAATAGACTGCATGTGTTTTTTAAAACTAAGATAAAAAATGAAAGGGTGAGGAGGAAACAACACAATTTGGATTTGCGGTTACATAATATAACTGTTTGTTCTAACAAAAAGGTCAAAAAAATTAGATGGAGGAATGACCAAGTTGAACTATGATTAGGCATACATGATTGGCCATAGTTAAGCTGCCATTATGATTCTACAAGAAAGGAGATCTTTTTGCACGTCTTCATCTACAAATTTTTTAAGTTTGGTACACGTGGTTCTCTTGTTTAATAATTGGAGATGCCTATTTTTAATTCCATGGGGGAAGAGTTGCCTCCATTGCTAGAACTTTTGTGCTAGAGTTGGCAACTGGGACAGAGAAGTCTATTGACCTCGTAGACAAGAAAAAGGTTAATAAGATCGTCGAGGACAAGAAATTTGATTAGGTTTAAGATCGGATGGTACTGGAGAGGTATCTTATATTTTCTAAATTTTTGGAGAGGCAAACCACATAAGGAGACAATATCTATATGAATCCAGTTAATGCCTTCCTTCCCAATATTTCTGACTGCTGTACTCAACAAAACTGTGCAGGTATCCAGACTTATAAAGATGCCAAGCATTATGCCATATCTGCAAAAATACCAGAGTTAAACAATAAAAACAGAACCCTAGTGGTACAATATTCGATAAAGTTTGAGCAAGATATTGAATGTGGTAATGATTATATTAAACTTCTCTCTGGCTATGTCAACCAGAAGAAATTTGGTGGTGACACTCCATACAGGTCTGTCTGTCAATTCTTGATTTCATAACCTTTGGGGATCTGTGGTCTTTTGCAACTTAGCTTATTGCTTATGTTTGCATTTCATGTCTTGTTAGTTCGGTTAGGTATTATGTCATCGCTTTTTTTTACTTGTATTTCTGCACGTTCTCATGCCCTACGATTGCTTGGTTTCATTAAAACAAGGCTTCAATAGATATCAGCTGAAAGTTTTTTATGACATAAGTCTTCAACATAATGTTTGTTTTGCTTCAAACGGGGATATTTAGTGCACAAATGATTACACAACGAACATGAAATAAAAAAGTAGATATGTTTCATTATGCTATAATTTGGCCACTTAAGCTTGTTAGGTTTAGGTAAAATAAAATGCAACAAGTACTTATGAATGAACAAGTACAGAACTTTTTATAAGATACCTTGAAAGAAATTACATCTTAGCTCATTCAAACAACCTTTTAGCCCACAAAACTTATTTATCTATACTACGAAGTACATGATAAAGGCTTCCACAAACGTGAAGAAAGAGTGAAATAATTCTAAGAAAAAAATACGAGTTCAAGCACCATATGCATGTTTTTCTTGGTGCTCTGATCTTTTGTATTATTGTCAGTTCATCCCACTGCATCTCATTACCATTTGTGACTATTTGGTAATTCTTCTCATAGTTGCTACTTTTCTGCAGTTTGATGTTCGGACCAGATATATGTGGCACTCAGACTAAGAAGCTCCATGTAATAGTTTCTTACCAGGGCCAAAATTATCCCATTAAAAAGGATCTAGACTGTGAAACTGACAAGCTGACTCATTTTTACACATTCATTTTAAGGCCTGATGCAACCTTTAGTGTCGTGGTTGATAATCGCGAAAGAGTGTCTGGAAGTATGTACTCAGACTGGGATATCCTCTCTCCTCATAAAGTTAAAGGTGTCTATGCAAAAAAGTTACCGCAGAATCTTACCTTGATTCTAGTCAGTTTGATGCATTCTTTTATTATTGTCTTAATGTTTGGTGTGTGGTCTTATGGTGGAAGAATGCTACTCCATTCATCCATTATTGGCTGAAGCATAAACTTCCACTTAGCCTTAGGCGAGAGTTGTAACTATTTGAACATTATATTTTTATTGTCAAATAGTGGCCGTAAGTTTTGTCAGTTTCATTTTTGTACTCTTTAAGTAATGGCATTTTCACGTATAATATATCTATTACTGAAAAAGATCATTGGCTGTAGACATTCACAAAAGGACAAGAAATCATACAATGTGGGTGGCGGGATTAAATGACATGGCAAATTTGTATGCTTTTTTGTCCTAATGCTTCGACTAGCAACATTTTACTATAGAGCAACAGGTCGTTGTATAATTTATGGGTATTACGTGGGATGCATATATCCCTTTATTTTTAATAAATTATACCTATCTTCATCACAAGAATGTCTATCGATATGTCTTCTGCAGCTGTCAGACTGGGATGATAGAGAATATATAGAAGACCCCAATGATGTCAAACCAGTGGTACCATTGCATATCTTTCAATTAAGGACTGAAATCATGATTTATTCGGGTGCTTGCAGGGATATGATTCTGTACCAGCTGAGATCCCTGATCCCAAGGCTAAAAAGGTTTGCTGTTTGTATTACTTTTTTCATTATCAGAACTCTTTATTTCTGTTATTTTTTTAGGATCTAAATGGATTAGTTCTATATTCACGTTATTTACTATTTGATTTTTTATGAATATGGTGAGTTTTTCAGTGTGAAAACCCAAAAAAGTACCAAATCCAGCGTATAAAGGCTCCTGGAAGCGCAAGGTGCGAACAAATCATTAATTATGTAGTTTGAGCTGTATGCATAATTCCAAATTAATTGCAATCACTAACCTTAGAAGAAGTGCAACAGAAAATCAAGAATCCTAACTACAAGGGGAATTGGAAGATTCCTTGGATTGATAATCCGGGTAAGTTTCCTTTCAATGAATCCAAGTAGTATTAATGTCATGTTATGTTACAGACAGTTTAGCTCTCAGCCAAATTGAATCTGTTCCTTCTGCCAATGTGGAGATAAATTATTATACAAGAGCAATGAACTAAACAGATATTATTTTATGTAAACACTAGCCTTTTTTCCTTTCTCCCAATGTTCATTGAAACTAGGAACATCGAATTGCATCACTCTATTTACTGCTGCTTTATTTATCATATATAAAGGGGCTTTGAGACGTTATTATACTTTCCAGCCAAATTGGAATGCTATTTTATGGGAAAAAAGGGTCCTGGCACGTATGTAATAGAACAGTTACTTTGTGCTGTTTACTGCTGGATTCAATTCTCCAGGTAAAGATTCATTCACACACTCATCTTCTTCGAATTTGGGAAGGGGGAGATGCTGGTAACCTCATTGCTTTTCTTCTTCCCTTCTGCAGAGTTTGAAGATGATCCCGACCTCTATGTATTGAAACCAATAAAATATGTAGGCTTCGAAGTTTGGCAGGTAAGAACCAAGCTATTATTTTATTTTGTGGAATTTTCATTTATGCCTTGTTTTCACATATTCCTGTTTGAAATTTATACTGCTATATCCGCCAAGTTATTCAATGGTCTTGAATTTGAGAAGTGGTCTGAATATTGCAAGACAATTAGGCCTCCTGGGATGTCTTTTGGTGAATTTCAAACATTGTATTCGATACCTTTAAGATCTCTTATGTGGCTTGCAAATATATGGTAGTAGTGCTACGTTGAGTGAAATTGTTCTTTTCTTTGGTCTCTCTTTAGAAGTGGAATTTTGGTTCTGATCTCGTAAGGTTATACTAGTTTTAAAAAATTACTGTTTGCTGTCGATTTTGAATATCAAGAAATGGACGCTTACGAAACTGCATTCCACTCTTATTGTACAAATGATACTTTCTGGTTCACTGGCTTGTGAAAACAGCATATACTCAGTATTGACAGTCTTCAGTCTTGAATGATACTTGGTTTTTTCTGCATTGTGTATGTTTTTCTCTATAATTACTTTTACAGGTAAAAGCTGGTTCAGAGTTCGACGATATTTTGATATGTTAAGTGGTTTCATCCTGTAAAATTCTGAAAAAGAGCCTTTTGAAGAGGCAGAGAAGATAAGAAGAGCTACGGAAGAAGAGGTGAGTCACAACTATACAAATGCTGATACATTTTAACACTCACACACAGTCTAATCTCACTATGTATTCTATTTTTGCTGTCTATAGAATGATATGCAGAGTGCTAAAAGAGATGGAGAGGAGGATGAAAGCGGGAAGAGAGACCGAGATCGTGGGTATAACGAGAGAAGGCACCATAGAATGGTATTGTCCCTTTATTTCTTATCCACTTTTGTACCTGTTTGATAGTTGCTATGTTACTTGTAATTTTGCTAATTTCTGTGGACCTCGTGTTGTGATTGTTATCGTCTAAAACTGGTTAAATGAATAACGTTTATTTACTTCCTCTTTGTTTCAAGAAGATGTCAATCAACCAGTGCATTATGCATAAACCTGACGTCACTTCTTGAACCTGACAATTGCGATCACCATATTTAAGCAAATGGTGTCCTACATGTAACCTATCACTCTGTTGCAATGATATCGCCTCAATAGAGGTTATCTGGTTCTAAAACTCGGAAGAAATCAAACCTTGCCATTATAATTGTGTCTATATCATAAGAGATTGTATGGGTTAGAAATCTCTACGGCCAGTTCACTGTCAATGCTGTTTTCCAACCGTCACTGAATTTAATTTTTTTAATTAATAGTCGCCTTTACTTTCAAAGTGGTTTCCCATCGGTCAGTCCATCTCTTACTGTTTGAAAATTATGGATTGTGATGATGTGGCAAACAAAATTATTAATATGCATCGCTCTGGATGGAAAACAACGTTAAAACTAATTTGGATTGATATGAAAATCACTTCCCTCTCCATAGTTGCACCGAAAACCAAACAATCTGATCATCCTTGTCCGTCCCCCTCGTCTGTCAATTTTAGGAAGTGCACAGCCCAGAAAAGAACCATATGGCTCTTACGGTTTCAAGAAGAGATGGAGGCGAACGAGGCCATTGGGATTTCCTGATGATGTCAGTCAGAGAGGATAGTTAGATTGTGGATCAACTTTGAAAGTACAACTTAGATCGTCAAGAGCTTTAAAGACTTTTTGTTGAATTAAAATAGTTTTCATTTTTTGCTTCCAGATGGAATAATCTCCCTTACTATTGAATTGTGCCAATTCAACTCGAGAGGCCATGGTAGCAAAATAATGTTTTTGAAAAAAGGTTTTACTTAGCTAATTTACCCACACACAAATGCAAGCTCAAACCAATTTATGTATAAATTACTTTCTAAGATGAGATAAACGATGATATCACAACAAGTAACACATAATCGATATCACAAGAGTCGAATAATAATATGGCAGCAAATAACATAATATTTCAATTGTAAATTCGAGAGGGTGTTAAAGCGCGCAAACTGAGCGAACCAATTTGTTGGTTCATATTTTAAGGAGAGATGGGAGTCTATATCGATCTAGGGCCTCCAGTAACTGCCCTAAGTCATCCAACAATTGCTGCAATACAAGGAAACACCACCGAGCCGCCAACGAAAAAGTTTCTCCGTTTCCACCTTTCTGCCCGAGACTGTATCTGCTTCCACAGTACACCAAATTGAAATCCAACACCACCAGAAGGTCAGAAATTCATCAAGGAACAATCTGTCTTTTTTCACCTCCGGCTGAATCTCCTCCACACGCTCGCACGCGCCGTACGTGTCCTCTGCTCGTGGTCTTACGTGTCGCCTTCACAGCCAGCACGTGTGTCACACGCACTGAACTAGAGTATTCTGCTTGATGTCTGAAGTCTGGTGGTGGTCTCCATTTATCCACCAGGTGCATCGTTTTTCCAAAAAATGGGTTTAAAATTTCTGTTGAAGATGTTTTCAACAAAACCGAACCCCTTCAACTTCCAATCCGTTTTTCAGGTTGTTTTAACACTTTTCACCACTAGTCTAAGCTCTGATACCATTTGTAGAGTTTAAAGTGTAGTATACAAAAGATTATTAAACTACAATACAGAATAATAAACTCTCAAAGTGTAAAATCGAACCAAAACCACCCAAAGCTTCTTCAACACCACCAATGAAGTGTTCTTGATGTTGAGCTCAGATTTGTGCTACACCGGATCATGCACCGTCGTCCACGGAAATGACAATGGATATATCGAGAAAAGATCCGTCAGAAGCCAACAAGAATTTCACCGGAGTTATGGAAAGCTCTCAATTGGTTACCTCTTTATGCTCTTTCTTAAATGTTATGTCAAATCCAAAATTGAGAGAAATGAAGATGTCTTGTAATTATAGAGTCAGTCCATTTGAATTCAAAACTCAAATATTAGACTATGGTCAACTAGAAATTGACAGCACTAGTATAGATAATTGACCACAAGATTAAATCCAATGGAATTAAATCCAACTATTGGATTTAATCTATGGTCCATATTACTCTATAACTAGCATAATCTACTTCACATTCTCTAGACCAATCAACTTGCACCAATAATAGGATGTGATCCACCTTACAACTACCATGTAAGAACTCCCCCTCCCCCTTCCTGCATGTGTGAACATATAATGTTTAGTTCTACGATTTGTGTAATCCATTAATCTCAACTTGAATGGTGAGGTTTGATCTTGGGGCGTTATTTGAGCTCTACTTGTGATACACCCATCTTATAATTTGATTATATAACCCCTTTAGATAATTTTCATGAACCTTTTGCCTTTTAAAATGCGTGCTATATGCATTTTCCATCTTCTAATGCTTGCTGCCTACAGGATGAGGAGCTTTGAGTTGTGCTTCTTGTAATCGAGGTGCAGTGAATGACAGGTGCTGAATTTGAAATTATGTGTCCTTTCTATTTCCTCCTATTGTATTCTATGATTGTTGTAACTTCTAAAGTATAAACTTGGAAAATAATAAGCATTTTCCCTTTAACATTTTTGGGTAAAAGTTCTTTTTATCTATGAAGGTTGATATTGGACCTAAACTATTTACTAAAAGGAGTTAATAGGCTTTTGAGTTTGAATAAAGATACTTAAGTACTTTTAAAAGCATATATTTATTAAGGTTGATTATAGGATAGAATAGTTCAGATGCGATTTGTTTACGCGTATTTAAGTATATATAGCTATTTTGATTATTGGATAGAATAGTCATAATTATCTTTAAACATTGAATAAGTGTTTACGAGTGATTTTAAGTCTTGGATCATCGCATTATATATGAATAATAAGCGTGTAGTAATTGTGAATTTTAGAAAATGTGTGGATAAAAAGTATATTTGATAAACTTAAATTATAATTTAAGATTTGCCAAACATGCGTCATGATTTCTGTCACCCAAAAACACATGATTAGGCCAAACAAAACATGATTTGGGCTAATGTATATTTATTATGCTTTATTATTATTATTATTATTATTATTTTTTTTTTTTTTGGGTTGTGTGAAGCTTGAAAAGCAAACTAGTTATGAACATGATTACTATTAAATTTTCACATTCAAGATACAACTTGAGAAAATTTACTTAATGAGTTATGCTACACATTCATTATGATTTACATCTTGGTGTACATAATAGACAAGTGACATTTCATTGATGGGTGGAAAAACAAATTTTTTTTTTTCATTAGCCAATGATGAAATGAGACTTAACCATTATTTTACACCAAAGTGTAAATTTTGATGTATGTGTAGAAGAAGAAAAATGTGCGGACAACAAAAAGGAAAATTTTTAGAGAATGTATAGAATATTTTATTATGTGAATATATGATTAAAAATAATATTTTAATAAATAATAAAATAAATTAATGGGAATAAAATAGGCCCTTGGTGTCATTTCGATAAGCTTTAAGCTCATATGAATCATCTAATATTTTAAATTAGGGCCCGTTTGATAGGGGTTTTGAGAATTATTTTTTGATCGTTAAAAGAAAAGTGGGGTCCACATGTGAGAGAAGAAGTCAAAAATTACGGCTTGAATAGTAAAATAACGGTAAAAAAATCAATTTTTTGAGGCAAAAAATCCCTATCAAACGAGATTTAAATAAGTTGGTGGGTGGACGCCGAAAAATGTTTGTGTACTGATGAGAGTTGGAGTGAAAGCGAAATAAATGCAATAGAGATTGTTGACCTAAGCTGTGGTTGGTGTCACAGTTGTCAAAAAGTAATGATGAATGTATATTTTGTCAAATATGTTTGGCCAAACTTTTATTAGATCATAAATTATGACAATAGTTAATAAGTGAATTTTTGAGGTGTAGATAAAAATACAGTTTTATAAAAAAATTCAAGCCTTTGTTTGGCCCCATTATAATGAGAATTTGGAAAAAAAAATTATAATAGAGTCCAAACATGAACTTTCTTAAAGAACGGGTGGTTGATAAAAAAAAAAAGGGAAAAAATAAATTATAATTTTAATGGGCCAAACATGAATTTAATGAGCACGATGCCACACACATTATAGTGTTTATAAGAGTGTCCATAATATATAAGTGGCATAACATCATTGGAGAGTTGAAAAACAGTTTTTTCAACTCTTCGATGATGAAATTTTACATGTACATTATGGACACTCTTATAAATATTATAATATACATGTAGAATTATTCCACTCTTTCTGTATGCGCTTGGCACAAATTCCTTCAGGCATAGCTCATTTACAAGATTAATAGGTTTGAGAATGTAGGAGTGACGATGATGGATTCAAAGAGAGCCAAAAATAGGTTGGGATTCTATAGAAATCCTTTAATAAAGAAGAAAATAAGAGACGTACGATTAAATTGTTCCATCCAACGAATAATATACTAAAAAGAGCTTAAAACTAAAATTCGCAATCGAGGCCTATCCTTCAACCAACATTAGAATTTGGATTTACAGTTATGTTGAAAATGAGATTTAAATGATGTACTTATACTATGCTATAACAACTTAAACCATTGATAAAATGATATAACATAATGTAAGAGCAAACAAAGTCCAACTTATGCGTCTCTTGTTACGTAAGATTTAATGCACTTGTCACACTATAATAGATGTGTGTTAGACAAATCTTTTTTTGTCTATATTCTTAGATCAATCAATCTAATATTAATTAATACGTAATTGATCGAACACTACTTGTAGACAATTCTTTTGCTCAAAAACAAAATATTTCAGATGTTCCTGAATATTGTTACTCTCAGTGGATCATTTTATATCTATATGCTCTAATCTATTCGTGGATTTCTCGAATTGAAAAATCAAGAATATGAAACTTAAAACGAAATACGTGTGTTCCTTTCTAATTTTGAACAAAAAAAATTCTCAAATCTAATTGTTTTGTTAAAAAAGAAAAAAAAAAAAGTTCTGAAAAGGGGAGGAATAAGGAAGAAAGTGGAATAATTGGGTGTAAAGCACCATGTTAAGATGAAATGGGTCCCAAATCTCATGGCTATTATAATACCACGTGGACTTCCTCTAGATTCTCACCGCGCATTCAATATTTATAAATAAAAAATTTATTTTGTCATAATGAGTCATTATACTCCAATCGCTATCACATTTAGCCGATGTTTGATGGGCCTTGTTTGCCCCCTGTATACAGGGGCCCTGTACAAAGGGCCTTTTCCATTGTATCATGTTCATTTTTAATCATACGTTCTCAAAATAAAATATTTTCCACATAAAACTAAAATATTTTTCTATTTTTTAAATATACATTCTCCAAAATATTATTATTCAAAAAGTCATTCAACCAACAGAAAAAGGGTGTCAATTAGTGACTATTGTTTTTCAAATTCATAGAAATTGGTCAGTTAATAATATGTCTAAACTGATATTTCACATAATTGTTATATGGTACCAAAAAATTAAAATTATAAATTAGGATTAAAACTTCCGACGTGAAGTAGTGATAAGATGGTAAATCACACAGGGATTCCATGAAAGATTTGTTGCGGTATGACTATCAATTAAATAGTTTTCTTTTATTTTGAAGGTGATAAGTGATTGAGTGTTAAAGTCTAAAATTAAATTTAAATTTCAATAATCCAAATTGAAAGTTACATTTAGGGATCCAAAATTTCAGGTAGGATTTCAAATTGGTCATTAAATTGATTTTGTGACACAATTAATCCTTGTTCTTCGATCATATTTCAAAAACCATTTTTTCCTAAGACTCATCCTCAACTCAAAATAAAATATTTTGCATACAAATTCAAAAAAATTCTCTATTTTTTAATACATTATTCAAAAAATCACTATTTCAAAAGTCATATTTTTCAAAAAAAAAAAACTAATTTTAATGGACATCAAACACGGGCTTAGTGTGCATGCTTTAAATTTTTTTTTTAAAACTAATTTTCAACCACATTATCCAAAAAAACATTTTTTACACGGGACACATAATTTTTTCTTATTTCATAATCTTACGTTCTTCCAAAAACTTATCTTCACAAAATTTTCAAAAAATCTACACCAAACCGATCTTCAATTTGGCTTGACTTTTGCTTTTTCTAAAACAATTACCTTAATTTTTGTTCAAAAACTAATTTCTAAATAGACTTTTTATTTCGAAATTGCTTTTACCAATTTCTTTAAAAACTCTTTTAGTTAAAAGAAAATAATTTCATAAAATTAGTTAAATGAATCCAAAAGCAGCTTAAATGTAAAAAATAAAAAAAAGTTTATTTTGACTTTTCAAAAGTTATGCCAACTAAACGTTCGTTCGTCGTTAACTTATGTCACATAATTAGTAGCTTTATTAACATTAATCACATATATGATGTTTTTACTATTTATGATTCATGATAGCATATAGAGTTAGACAAAGGAAGTAATTTGAGATACCTTGAATCAATCTGATGTTCTCTTTATAATCACATTTTACGGTCGAGATTTAAAGAAGTAATCAATTATTTTGTTCATTTCACTAAAAGAAGATTAATTAATTACCAGAAAGTAAATTTGAGAAACGAAAAAGTGTAGAATCCGCGTACACGCGCCTGCACACACAAGACTCTCTCTCTAGAGTCCAAAAACAAAGAAAGTTGAATGCTCTTCAAATCCTGACATCCTGTAAATGATTTTGAGTAGAGCCGCACCCTCTGTCATGGTCTCCTTCCCTCGTTCTAGGGTTGGTTACTTCCCTCTCTTTCGTTTTTAATATATAATTTATCAATGAACTTTTCTTGTTTATGTGCATCTTTGTTTTGTATGTATAATTTGGAAATTGATGAATATGATTAGTGTCTTTCATTGACTTCTTCTGCATATTGATTTTGTTTGTTGGAAATTTCATATTAATTAGCTCTATCTCTCTCTGTTGAGGCGTTAGTTTTGAGGTTCCCCTTTTTTAAATAAATCTTTACCTGGTCATTTTGTCGTCTAATTTACGGTCAAGTGACTTTCTGATGGATTTTGTTTGTTACTGCCAATTTATTGGTTGTAGCGACATGGATTATGATTTTACGTTTGATTAATTAAACTTTCATTCAAGCAATATTTTATTTGGGTTTCGTTTTTACTTAATATTGATGAATATGATGAGGGTCTTCTATTTAACTTGTTCTGCATATTAATTTTGTTAGTTGAGAAATTCGTGTTAATTAGTTCTCTCTCATTCAGTTTTTTCTATGTCATTCTTAAATTTGTGTCAATTCAAGTTATTTCTAATTTTTTGGTTCTAGAAAAAAGGTTTCTGATTTTGCATATGATTAGCCTTTCATCTGATGTAACCTATTATATATGAGGGAGTCAGAAAAAAATTGTAATACGTGGGGTTCTTCTTTAGTTATGATTATATTCTGCTCGTTGTCACGCCCTTTTACCACAAAATACGTTTGGTATCATTAAATAAGAAACTGATTCTGAATTTTGAGTTTTGAGTTCTGATTTTAAAATTCGTCTGCACCCTCGTAATTTCATTCTTTTATAGTTTGATGATGCCTATGCTCTGTGCGTCTTTTTTGTACAGAATGAAAGATTAGTGGTTTAAACTATTTGTTTTTATGTACCTGAAAATTAGGTTAAATGCCATCTTTTACTTTTTTTATTATGAATTCTAAATAAAATTATTTGCCAACTTTATTACTCGTTACCTAAGTGCCTCTTTTGCATTGTACATGTGCTGATAGCACATTATTCTAGTTTTGAAACCCATATTCATAAATTATTTAAGATTGTGGTTGTGAATTCAACATAATTGCACTAGTTACATTGTGATGTGGTATAAAGGAGTCTTCTTTTCCTCTCCCTCAATAATTAGTTTGATGCTCTTAATTAATGTCGTAATGTTTTATTGCATTGTTGTTGCAGAAAGGGTCGGGGCTGTGCATATGGCCAGGGATGAGACAGCTTTGTCTAAGAAAGACTCTTGTGTATGGATTTGTGAGGCTCTTATCAATGCCATTCAAGACCTTGCAGGGAGTTAGCCAAACAATTGGAGGAGTTTCTAATTTTTGCAGCATCACCAATATGTCATCCACTTTGCAAATTGAGCTGGTGAGCAGATGTTTTGATGACAGAATAATTACAGAACTGTAACAATAAGAGTTGGAAGGGGATTTAAAAAATAAATATTGTATCCAAGTTTAATTAAAACTTTCCATATCACTATTTTCTTATTTATATGTTCAGCCACTGCTGGAGAGTTCAGTTACATTTCATGGCAGTATATTATACATAAGTGAAGTTCCACGGCTGAGATACTACTAGGTTATCTAGTTCTGAGTTCAGAATCACTGGAGTTGAATTTCACTTATATCTGATATAGCTTCCTTAATAATGTTGATTGCCAATTTGGAACTGCATAATATTATTTGTTTACACTCAGAAATTGTTCTCGTCTTCAATTCTGTATTCCTTTCTAGCATCATTTTTTTTTTATATCTTGAAATGTATACATAAAGAATTAAATGTGGAAAGTTCTGTCATCATGGACAAATACCATGCATTACAAGTTTCAACTAAGATAATGAGCTCATCTATTATGTGGGGGTTGAACCCATGTCTCTTCTTTGTAACTGGTACTATATATACGGTTTAATAATATGACCTGTTGTCAATTGCATTATGTAATGCATGAAGCCACTTATGTAGCTTGAATGAATTATCCTCATTCAATTTTCTTCTTTCTTTATTGCAGGTGCCCTGTCTTAAAGATAACTATGCTTATCTGTTACATGACATGGATACTGGGACAGTTGGAGTGGTTGACCCTTCTGAAGCAGTACCTGTTATAGATGCATTGAATAGGAAAAATTGGAATTTGACTTACATCCTGAACACTCATCACCATTTTGATCATACTGGTGGAAACATGGAGTTAAAAGAAAGGTACGGCGCAAAGGTATGAAAATTTAACCTTCTGTTACATCTGACTCTTGTATGAGCTGAAATATATGTGCATCTATGTGGCGTGGATGCATGTTAAGGATTTTGAAAACTATGTTTTTGCACTCTGTATTTTTATTACTATTCCACGGAAATTTTACATAGGGGGGGTGTCTGGAAATGATTGTCTAAACCCACAATTGATTTTTCTGTCAAATCATCATGAAATCCGTGAATGGGGTGCATTTAATACTCAGACATATTCTCATATTTGCCCTCATATTGGTGTGACCATCACGTGAGGACGGCATGTCGTCGGCCATGGACAAATTCTTTCTCCCAAATTCGTCGTGATTGGGGTGAAAGGGAAAGTGGATTCTGTTGTTGGGGACGGCGGGTGAGAGAGATGGAAAATTGATGTGGGTAGGTGGGTTGTTGGTTGTATCTAATGGAAGGGCAAATTTGAGAAAGTGGTGCAATATGGTGTCTTGGCAATGTCAGAAAAGTGTGCAGGATTTGAAATTAATAAATGACTAGAAAATGTCTAACGGTCAAATTGCAATTAGAAACTGCTTAAAAGCACGGCCAGGCACCCATAAAAGCAGTTCAATCCTATTAGATTTCCTATTATGATGCGTTCCATCAACTAATCTGGTTGGGTCAGAATGTTTTAACAATTGCCCCCTCAATTAAACTGCCAGCCTTAAGTTGGTTGTTCTTCTTAGTTATGTTTTTGTACTTTGTATTTTTATTACGATTCAAGGGAAATCTTTGAAAAAATTAGTTCACTCATATTAGATTGCTGATTATGAGCTGCGTTCCGTCGACTAATCTGGTTGTGTTAGAATGTCTAACAATTTCCCCCACAATCAAACTGTCAGCCTTAAGTTGGTTGCTCTTCATAGTTCTGTGCTGATTGGAGCTTTACAGGGTTATGTGTCCATCTTCATGCGAGAACATAGTATTTTGTATGTTCCATCATGAGAAAGGTATTTCTCATCTTTCATCCATGCCTCCATGGCAATGGCGATATGGCTTGAGAGAGAGAGAGGACCTTAGATGTGAACTTGGATTATATGACAGGGTTCTTTTCAATTGACAACTTCGTTGTCTGTCCCAATGGACCCAATACTTGGGACATTGAATTAGATGGCCTGTGTCAAGTATTTAAATGTAAATGTGCTAGATTTAACTAGCAGTTGTGGTTGCTAATTTCCATATATGATGTTTTATGGGTTCAAAAGGTTAACTCCTTCGGAATTTTAAGCTACTGTAACATTTCTTACGTGCTCTGATATTAATCGACTGTGTTTGATATTGACTAGGAACGACCTGGAAAAGACATTGGATTTGGACTTTGAAATCATTTTGTTAAACTAACTAAATAAGAAGACTGATAGTCGTGTATTAGAAACAACATTCGCCCCCAGCTTGGCAAGAAAGAGATAAAGGTGAGCCTCTTACATGATAGCTACAGCCAGGGAATATATACTCTGTGGATGGTTGAAGGGAGTTATAGATATTCTCAACTGGTTAACTAGAACGTGGCCAATCTGCCACTTATTTTTCTTTAGGGTCATTAGTTGCATAGAACGAAATAGATTGACAAATCAGTAGTAAGGGCTGCATTGCAGAAAGTATCTGAATGTTCTGAGACAATATGGACTATGAGACCTGAATTGAACACTTAAAGTCTGTATAATTGTAGTCTATTTTAGGACGTCTAAAACTTGTTCATACTGCCACTGGAGTATCATTTGTCTGTGTGGTGTGGTGCTGTTAAGATGCTTCAGCCTTCAAGAGTTTGGATTTCTTATATACATTTTGAAGCTGGGAGTTGTTGGTGGCTAAGAAATGGAACAGCTTATTCTTGAACAGGACCCCTTGGGGTTATAAGTCAGTTGGGTTCTGATCCAGTGATTGTATAGGCTTGACTAAGCAAAGATATAGTGTGATACCAGTCCCTTTGTTAAATGACTCCTTAGACCTCTTTTGGCACGATGCTCAGCAGGTTCATTTTTGGGGTCTGTACTATGCTTTCCTTCCTGTAGTATGTACCATTAGTTCCCAGTCGTTGGCATCTTTGATATGGGGATGCTTTTATCTCAACTATTATCCTGGATTTGTTAGCTAGTAGTTAGTCACTGCCGTAAAAAGTGTAGAGCTGCTTTTGCTTTAGAACAGAAATCAAGATTCATCAATTGTATTCGATATTGAAGATAAGAGCGTGTATTTATACATCAAGTAGTTTTAAACCTTTCTTCTGTAATTTCTCTTTATAAAATCATTTTATGAAGGTTTCAACCTTCTGTGTATGTCCTTGTAGGTGATTGGATCAGGAGTAGACAAGGACAGAATACCTGGCATAGATATCGCTTTGAATGATGGGGACAAATGGATGTTTGCAAGCCATGAGGTGCTTGTGATGGCAACTCCTGGTCATACACGAGGTTGTGTTCAATTATTTGTTTTCAATGCATAATGCTTTTCATGTGCTTGATGATTTCTTTTTTTTTTTTTTTTACTCTGGATAGGACTATTTGAGGGAGTAAGTTGTTTATGTTAAACTCTGCATAATATTCCTTTATTGTTGGAGTCTAGGTATGTCTAAAATAATGTTTGCAACTTAAGTCTAGTATTATCATTTTTTAGACATTTTTCTTTTCATTTCTTTTTCTAAAAGAAGGACCAATGACCAAAAGAAATCAAAATCTAGAAGCAAAAGATTCAATTTTGTGAGGGTTGGAGAGCTCTAGGATCTTCTCATCAGATATCTACATGCTATTTATAAACTTTTAAGTCTCTTTCACAAGATAGTGTGCACACTCATTACTCCTCTCCATCGACATTCACATGTTTGCTTGGCTATGTTACTGCCTACAGTCTTCAGATCTTCATCTAGATGCCCAGCAGGATAAGAGTGGGTGTCAGCTTCCATTATTAGTTCAGTCTCTGAATCAATTTCTATCTTAAGAATTCTAATTTCTCAGTCCGTCTGCATTGCATATTACTGGTCTAGATCCACATCTCTGTCTGTTCAACTGATTCAGTATTTTCCCATAGCAGTTGCCATCATTGCTGAACTTGTTCCACATGGACCCTTTCTAGTTGACAAGGCTTTTTGTCTTGCACTGGGGACCTTCTCTTTGTCCTGAAGTAAAACATGTAGTCTTGAAATCCAACATCTTTATCTTTTAGATGCCTGATCGTCTGATTTCTTGCAAGGGAATAGGATCGTGAACAAGTAATAAAGTAGTAAATAGAGTGTCGAATGCACGAAAAATATGTACTTAATCTAGTGTCAGTTAATTTCAATCTTAGTTGAATAGGCAAATTGGTTTGAGCATTTATACTAAATGATCATATTATATTAATTAAGCTAATTATGAAGGTTTTTGTCAAATATGTGAGATGAATTGCTAAGATGTCAAATCCCGAATCCTCTTTGTTATTCCATTTTTAGTGTAATAATTAAAGTGACAATTTGAAATCATTCATATTGGTCAATGTTTCTAATTTAATTGAAATTCTCCCTCGATAGCGATCAAATTTATTCCCCTTATGTGAACCTTGTATTTATCGATGAAAGATGCAAACATGATAAATGCATTAATAAGTGTTGGAACATCTGTTGAAATCATAGAGGTATATCTCTATCTTTTATCAAACCTTACAATGTTTATTATATTGTGGTTAAACTCTATTGTCTCTCGATAACAATAAAATTCACTAACAATTCAATTGGTGATTAATCAATTGAAAAGAACGATAAAAACTATAATAAACATTCACAAATCAAACTAAATTAAAGTGAAAATAATTAAATGAAAACTAAAAATATCATAGCAATAGTTTATCTCATCCTAGCAACATATTGAAATTACAAGAAATCATATTTAAGTGGAAGACATAATCCAGATTTTTGATAAATTGAGAAGAAGAAGATAAATCTTGAAATCTTGAATCTCTTCAATAGTTTCTTGATGAATAGTTACTTGCGCCTTCTCTTCTTTGCTCAGAAATCAAGTTTGAATCTTCACTTGATTGAATTCTTGCAGGTTCCCTTCAATTCTCACAAAACTATGAATTTTCCTTTCCTTTGGTGTATGAATTGATGGAATATTGGAGTATATTATGTATATGAGAGGTTTTTTATTGACTGCCAATGTTTTGTATTTATAAAGGTGAAATTAGGTCAAAAATCGTGCAAGAATGTAGAATTTAGAATGAAAAAAGGGAATTGGCCATGATCCCAATTCTGCCCAGGCAAATTTGGGCACTCGCCAAGTTTTCATGGTCTGAATCAACTATTGAAATGTTGCACTTTAGTCCCTGTACTTTGGATTTCATCTTTTCACCAAGTTTTCGCTTATTTCTTTTAATTTCTCGTTCAATCATTGAGTTTTACCTATATAACATAAAATGCAAGAATTTGGGATATAATTTGTCAAAAAAATTACCAAATATCGCTATCTTAGGCTCTACACTTATTGATGCCTTTCCATCATTCACTTCTTTTAAAATTGTCAACTTCAAATTTTCCATAATGATTGTTGGCTATTTATTCAAGTTATTCTTGACTTCTAGTTTTATGGTTGCATAGAGATTTGTATTATTTCCCTTTCCTTTCTGAAGTTTTAGAACAATCCTGAAGTGGGAATAGGATTTCAAGAGTTGGCATTTCATTCCAATTCTGGCTCACTGCACAAGGGTGTAATTCAAGATTTGCAAATATATGGTTCTCTTGGCAAGAATGACCTGTCATCTGTCTAGGAGGCTGAGGACTGCATCTGCATATGCTTTACTAAAGAAACAAACTTTGATAATTGAAAATTATTAGAGGCTGGATGACAACTTAAAGATGACAATACTCAGCCAAGGACACAGACCAAAGTGCACAAGAAGCCAGTGGAGTGAGAGGGAGGCTGAAAAATATGAATAAATCATTTTGGAGATTCCCATTAGAACTTGACATGAATAAGATGTCTCTTCATTGCTATACATTATAAAATAAATATGGATATTAATATGGGATTTCATATGGAATAATTTAGACACTTGATTTGTATAACACATGTATTTATTCTCAAAAATCAAACTGGTGCTTACATTTTTTTTTTACTGAAATGATTATACGAAAAAGCATTTATTGTGTGATATTTTCTTCGGTTTGATTCCATAGTAATGACCTAATCATGAACATGGTCCACCTTGCAAGCAGGCCATATTAGTTTCCACTTCCCTGGATCAAAATCAATTTTTACGGGAGACACTTTGTTCAACTTATCATGTGGCAAGCTTTTTGAAGGAACTCCACAGCAGGTAAGTTATGATATCGATTATAATAATGATTTTATTCTCTTTTGTGCAGTGAAAATTTTCATTTACATCGTCAAACATGTGTTGTAGCTTTATTATTTACATTGATTTCCATTAACAGTAGCACTATTAACTTGTTTCATATTAGTCCAATAGTCCCTAGTGCTCCAAGTTTTTGTTTTTAATTTTAAGCGAGTTTCCAGAGTTATTGGTTGAACATAGAATTGTAGGGGATTCAATTTATTAAAATGCAAAAAAAAATTTCTGATGGCCGAGCCCTGGTCTAAGCTTTGTGGGTGAGTTAAGTGAGACCTTCTGTTTGGTTTTTCAAAAGCTATGGAAGCATGCTTTGACTTTTCTTTGTAAACAAATTATAAGAGGGGATATGTCATAATTTTGCATTTTTTTGAAATGCAATCATAAATGACTATGGGGAAGATGTTAGAAGTCCAGCAAGTAAAAGATACAGCTTCAGAAGAGGAAAAAGTATTGGTCTGTTTCTATCGTTTTTGTTTTTCCCCTTTTTATGACCTTCGAAAGTGTTAAGGCTTGAGGTTTCATTTTAAAAGGTCAACATTGTTAAGAGAAGTAGCTCAAACCTTTATAAATTGATATATATTTTCAACTTTATTCGATGTGGAATTATATCCTTTAACATGTCCCCGCAAGATAGTGGCCTTTTGAGCAGACCAATTTTGAAATCTGTTTGCTCATTTTTTTGAGTCTTTATCGGATCAAATCACTCGTTAGTGTTTAATGGGCTCTGATACCAAGTCAAGACTTAGAGTTCCATCTTAAAAGATCAACCTTGTTAAGAGTAGTCCAAATCTTTATAAATTGATCTATATTTTCATCTTTATTCGATGTGGGATTATATCTTTTAACAAAAAGTTTGTAGAATAATCATGTCTTTCGTGAAAGGTCAGCTATTGCACCTATCTTAATAGAATAAATCCTTCATTTTGATGTTTCAAGTTTTTAATTCCATAACATGCTGTTTCCAAGAGTAATGAAATTTTTTTCACCTTAAATGTTTGTGGACTATCATGCAAAACCATAAATAATGAAATAGAATTTGGAGCACATATTAGTTTTTATTTACTGTAGGCACAAGGCAGTGTATATAATCAGTCCATATCTCTGGAGTCTCAGGAGTTTCTGTTATGCTGTGTTACTGTGAAAAAAAAACACACGGAATTTGCATGTATGATGGGTGTAATTTTACTTGCTTGCTTGAAGTAAAAGTCTTATTATCGTCCACTACACATGATTTATGATTATGAACAGCTTTAAGTTATAATAAATGACGTGCTTAAATTTCTAGATATATTTAAGACTTGCGATTGGACATGAAATTAAAGTTTTGTTAGTCTTCAAAAACATTTTGAAGTGTGATGATGATTACACATTGTGTTTGTATCAGATGCTTTCTTCCCTGAGGAAGATCACATCGTTGCCAGATGATACGAATATATACTGCGGTCATGAATATACATTGGTAAATTCACGATTAGCATATAACGTTCTCTTTTCATATTTTCCAACATTCTTAAACCGAAACCTTCTTAATGGCCCTAAATTATTGGCATGTTTTGACAGAGTAATTCAAAATTCGCCCTATCAGTAGAACCTGGGAATGAAGAATTGCAGTCTTATGCTGCCCAGGTAGCCCATCTCAGCAGCAAGGGCTTGCCTACGGTACCATCTGACTTTCTTAACTTTTATGGAATTGATTATGGGACATGTAATGCTGCATATGTGACAGGATATATTTTAGATGTTATTCCCATTTATTTGCAAGTTGATCGTCATATTATATGTACGTGGTGGTCACATACTAACTGGTAGTTTGGCCTCAAATTAGAACTTGCATTCCTAGTTAAAATAACTTCAGGCGGTTTGGCAAGCCTTTGAAAAGTCAAAAGCTACTTTTGAGTCTAAGAACATGCTTTTGGACCCGTTTGGATAAGTTTTTGGAGGTTCTTTGTCGGGCTAGAAAAGCTTTCAGAGGAAGCTGATTCAAGATAGCTGTCTTTGGAAGCTTTTCTACAAGAAACAGAGGTGCTGCCAAATGGGCCTTACATAACTAGAGCAGCTAACTAGATGGCAGTAGTGGTTGTTTTGGGGTTACTAAAGGAGATAGCAAGGAAATCTCCACGCATAAAATGTGTGAGAGACTTTCTTTTTGTTGAGAGAATATGTGGAGATTTTTCATTTTTCAAGTTATCCTTCTTTATTTGAACTTTCTCATAATATCATCCTTTTTGTTTTGCCATCTTGTTATGCCCTTTTAAGTTTTCTTCTTAATAATGTAACTGTCATTGATGTTTTGTAGATCCCTACTTCACTAAGAAAGGAGAAGTCATGTAATCCATTCCTTCGAACTTCGAGCAAAGTAATCCGGAAGTCATTGAACATTCCCGACTCAGCAGACGACTCTGAAGCCTTGGGCATCATCCGCAAAGCCAAGGACAACTTTTAGGTTCAGCTCTGAAATATGGATTGCTTGTACGACTGTCGTGGCTCGTTGTAGAAGTACTGTGTGCTGTCCATCGAGCAAAGATGACTTTCAGCGTACATACATTATGCAATAGGCCTTGTGTATAGGTAATAAAATTGTCAGATCCTTGGACACTCCGAATTTCGTCCTTTACATTTGGGGCTAAATTAAATTTGTAGAGAATTGCTATGAAATAATTGTTTTTGGGTTCTCTTTGATGATTGATTTAATCCAGTGTAGAAATGACAAGTGCATTCTGTATAGCTTCATTGTACTGTCCTTTCTGTTTAAATTGGGAATAGAGTTGCATTATTTTTTGCGGGGATTAAAATTAGATTTTTTTAGTAAATTGTGATAGAAATTTTTGAAATGTGTGGTTGAAAAGTTGTGTGATCCATGAAAAATCTGGTTAATAATGATGATTTGACTTTAATTTAAATTAAAATCAGATTTTAATAAAAACCGTAATGTGTTTTATTTAATGAATATGCCTATGGTCGGTCAATAATCCCTCGTCTCTCTCAGATTTCACGTGCACGCAAAAATTTATAATTGAATTTCAAAAATCAATGCTCCTTTCGCTCTACAACTTGTTTCCAACTTAAATGACATATGATCGTCGCTCTTGGGCGTGTTCACGTGCTCGTGTTCACGAGAAGGATATTTTTAGGGTCAGTAACGCGTCACAATGTGAAGGTAAATTCCATTTGCAGTCACTGAACTTTAAATGAAGTTTTAATTAAATCAATAAATATTAATTTGGCTCAATTTATTCACTGGAATTCAATTTAATTTTTAATATAACAAATTTGTCACTTATTATTTCCAAATCGATAAAAATTGTTCAATGCAAGTTTGACAAGATACATAGTTACTTGTAAGCTAGTTGAATTTTATTTATTTTTACACATTTTGTAGAGTGAATTGTCCAAATGGTCATCAAACTTTGCAAAAGGTTTCCAAGGGATCACCGAACTTTAAAAATCACCTAAATGGTCACTTAACTTTGCAAAAGATTTTCACGAGATCACTGAACTTTAAAAATAATCTAAATGGTCATTGAACTTTACAAAAAGTTTCCACGAGGTCGCTGAATTCAGTGACCTTATGAAAATCTTTTGCAAAGTTCAGTGACCTCGTGAAAACTTTTTTCAAAGTTTAGTGATCATTTAGGCGATTTTTAAAGTTTAGTGACATTGTAAAAACCTTTTGCAAAGTTCAGTGACTACTTAAAATTTTTTTACAAAGTTCAGTGACCATTTGGACAATTCACTCCATTTTGTAGGATACACGATTTTTACTCACTTTAATTTGATACAAGTTTTGATAAATGTACATTAATTGATCCTTCATGTAATCCCTACATTGTATACTAGGATCATAGCAATGTCATTGGAATAAAAAGGTTTAATGCTGTGTGTGTGTGAATCAAACAATTTTTATCAATTTGAGAGATGACACGTGACACATAATAAAATTTAAAACTAAATTAAAGTTCTACCCGGGGTGTCAATAGTTTTAGTTGACGAGAAAATATGTATCAAGTTACAAGGCAAGTTCAATGTTTTGTTAATCATTATTTGGGGAAAATAGAATTTTGAATAGTGATTTTTACAAGATTGTGTGATTATAAAGTAAGAAAAATTTTGAATTTATATGTATAATATTTTAATGTATGAATGTGTAGTTGGAAATAACTATGTAGAAAAAAGAGTTTGAAAATAATGGTTGTCAAATAGGGGCTATATTTGATGGTATGTAGTGCAAGTCATTGAAAGACAAAATGTAAACTACTAATTTTTGAGAGGTTTATCGAAAATTGTCAATGACTGCTGGCTTTTTTTTCAAAAACGAAAAAAAAGAAAAAGAAAGCATAGTATGTTATGAAGAATTAATTTATTGCCCGAATTCTACATTTGGGATTCATTGCACGATGTCATTCCCTGCAAATTGATAGGGCCTATCTTGAACGTGCTTATTTTTGCTCATCAGTTGCGGAGGTTTATGCACAAATTCATATAATGATAACTTTCCAATGTTGTAGGGACGATGAATGCTTGAATGAATGGTTGTTAGTTTAGCTCTTGAACATGCTTGCCCTTTTGTTTCTTTTTTACCTGCTGCATTGGATTATTCTAGTTTGAATGGCGAGCATGAAAATTAAGAATAATGTTATGTAGTATTACTGGTGCTCTTAGCATTGGTAACACCATTCTTTGTCTTATAGTCTGTTCAAGAAAGTTGTGACGAGATATTCACACCTCAGTCCTTCAGATTTTGTTATCTTTTTATTTATTTTGTAACTCCATTTTTGGTACAGACCGATAGATCGATAATGTGAAGATAAATACATACAACAAATACAGTGTGTGTATTTCCTCCCCCAGGGTAATGTATAGTCACTTGGTGTCCTGCAGTAAAAAAACATAATAATATGCCGTGGATATAAGAGGAAAGATGTAGTTTATAGGGTGAAGATTTTTGGGAAATAATTTCTTATAATGAATCAGAATGTTACAGACTTAGGTCGGAAACAGAGAACTACTCTAGGCTACTTTACAACTAAACAAGTAAATAATCCCACATATTTTACATAGCAGACAAGCAGGAAAACTGACTCTTTGGAAAATTGTGATTCTGTTAATTCCAGCAATAAAGCTGATTCTGTCAACTCCTTCAATCATACTGATTTTGTCAATAAATCAACTATATCCTGAGTTTCTACATAGGTCATAGTGCCTGGTCTTAAGGACATGTTTTTTCTACTTCTCCTTGCTTTTCTCCCCTCTTTCAATTGACTATGAATTTTTCACCTATATTGATATATGCTAGAAAGATATTATGTATTGACCTATTCTTTACTTCTCCCAAACAGAGAGATACAGATGACCTTACTGCTGAAAACAATGAACTCAAATTGCTGTTGCAAGCATTGGAGCAACAGCTGCACTTGCAAGAACGTAAAAATTTATCATTATCTAACTTTGCGGGAAAGTTTTGGTCCCATCCTTTCTTACTGTTGTCTTTAATACGTTTTGGCCTCTCAAGAACAGACTTGAAATGACAATAAGACTAGGTTGTTTCAATTCACTGGTTGACTTTATAGAACTCATTTGAACTATTTAAATTGTTACTGAAAGTAGATAGCCTGTGTTTGTTGATGATGCAAGCTGCAGATTTCTAACTTGCCTGCGAGGCAAAAACAATGTGATTCTGAATATCTTGTGGTCAGATACGAACATGCAGACGTAGGCCAACTTACTTAAAGTCGATTTTAGATAATATACTGGTGTATCATCCTTCTCATGGTGCTATTGAAGTCATTCAATAGTTGAAAGACTTATAGTTTGTCACTGCAATGGAATTCAGTTTGATGGTTTATTCTTTCCCCCTGAACTCAAGGAAGTGCTAAATGATATTTTTCTACTCTTCTTTTCTTCTTAAAAAATGTAGAAATGAATGAAGCTATGAAGGAAGAGATCAAGCATCTGAAAGTGTTAACGGGTCAAGCAATTCAAAATGGTGGACCTATGATGAATTTTCCTGCATCTTATGGAGCTAACCAGCAGCATTATCCGAACAACCATGCTATGAATACAATGTTGACTGCTCAACAATTTCGACAGCTCCAAATAAATTATCAGTTTCAGGAGCATCAACTGCGCCAGTTTCAGCAGCAACGATCCGCATTGCTGCAACAAGCTTTGGACTTGAAACCCAGTAGCTCTGTGCCGGCTCCCATTGAAAAAGAGAATGCTACTTCAGACGCACCATCAAAGGATTAGAATCTGGAACCGGCATGTGCACTGGCTGTTGGTTGGTTAGTGTGGTTTATGCTTTTGGTTAGTGCATAGATGTACCATGCTATGTACATCTAACATAACATGGCTCTGTAAGCCGTCCATTGAACTTTAGTTCATCAAACCATGAAGACTATTTGTTAAGATAATGTATAGAATCTGTGATGCGGACATCCATTTATTATTTATTTTCTATTTGGACTATTAGCTATATTTTATTGGAACTATTGTTTATGTTTTCGTTATTGGGCTTGTTTAGTGGGTTTGGCCCAAACCCTTCTCTTTAGGGTTTGTGTTCTGCTATTTATTTCTGTTTTGTTTCTCATTT